AGAGTAAGAACAAGAAAGTAGTAAGGAAGAAGTTGAACCTTCTCTCCAGGAAACTAAAGAGAAGGTAGAGCTTCTCTCTCTAGCATTTTTTGATCTATTTTTGATAGTCAAACACCATTTGAGCACATCTCTAGGCAATGTTTGAATATTTATTGATACACATTTTCATTATTCATATGCAAGGTCCTTCTATGATATGCATTGTTCTCATGTTAGGAGCAAAACTCTACATCATAATAAGGTGGCATATGTCCTCAAGTGTAATGCATCTTCCATGATATGCAAATACTTTGGGCCTTCCATAGATTTAAGGTATTTTAGAGCAATAAATTTATTAATGAGGGATTTTCGAGCGATTTTTCCTTAATCTTAATCAAGCCTAATGAGAATTACTTGTTTATTTCACATTTGTATCTGAAGCATTGATATGGTTATAAGTATTGGATAAGATATGTCATGATATACGAACATGACAATTTTGAAAAAAAAAAATTAGAATACATGTACAATTAAATATTTAAATACACATATATTTTCAATTTCATAATTTCATATTTAAAGTCAATAAGTATAATTTGAAGATGTTTAATTCCATCACAAAATGCAATACAATAAGTAATTAAGTAATTAAGCACTATCAAATGACAAAAGATAATGATAAATTTAAATTAATTCTCATGATCTTCATCTCCATTGACACTACTATTTCTTACAAGTTCTTCTCTAAATTTGGCTCATCTAAAAATAAATTTGCAACTTCAAAACTTTCAACATCATCTATTTTCTAACAATTTACACTAATATTCTATAATTTACTTTCTCCAGTAGAATACTTCTTACTCTTTCTTGAAAGAAGACGAAGATTTGAATGAATAAAAACTAATTTTTTTAACTGTTTTTAGAAGCATCTTGTTTCTCTTTAGTAAATGAATAAAAGAGCAAGTACTCTAATTTCTTTTTTAGCAAGATGATGAGTATGTTAGTTAAGAAGTTTCAATGCAATCTTTTGAAGTTTAGGAATGTTGGCACCATAATTGAGCCACCAAACTTTAGGCTCTAATTGCCATTTATCTTGTAAAAAATTAACTAAAGAGTACTCATCTGAACATTTAAAAAAACTTTGAAAACTCATTTCTACCCATTTTCCTTTCTTCTTCATTTGGAAGCATTATTCCAAGGCATTTTTTCTTCTCAATTGATATTTCAATATCTTGATATGGAGAGACTCTATTAGGTGCACCTTAATAACATCAATGGGACTTGTGATGTAAAAAGGTAAAGAAAAGAATTTTATGAATAAAGATAGGAATAACACATTTAGGTTTTAATGAGTGGGCAAGACAATAAAGCGGAGTGGCACTCTTTGTCCAACAATCAATGATGATGTTATAAATAACATAAAATGAAGAGTATTCAAAAAGTGATTTTCTCTCATCCTTATAAATTGATTCCTTGACTTGTTCTATCATTAAATCCTACATCTCATAAATCAAATGAAGCGTGGGTTTATCTGTGTCAGCAAACCTCAGCATATCATAAATTGGTGTAGTGAAAGAGAGAATATAATCAACTTTCTCCCACTAAAGATCATTAAGAATTATGTCTTTAATTGTAGTAGTCTTTCCAAGTTCATCATCTTTATAAAGACTCCAATGTCCAAAAATAACCAATATACGAAGAGAAGTTTTAATAAATTTAAATCTCTTCAGTATTACAATTGTTGATGCAAATCTTGTATCGGCCATAGCAATCAACTTTAATGGCACAAATTCATTAAACATGGCCAATCTCATAAAATGATTCATGATAAATGTTTTGATAAAGACTATATCTTCCCTCACCTCAGTGATCCAATGACATTTTCCATATACAATTTCATTTGTCTCTATATTTTTTGTTGCATATATATTCTTCAAGACAAGATTAAGTGTATGCACAATACATGGTGTCCAAAAGATATGAGGATACTCATCTTCTATCATCTCACTTGCAAATTTATAAACAGGTGTATTATCAGTGATTATTTGGATAACTTTATGAGATCTCACTTCTTTAACTACTTTCTTTATCAAGTTTGTCATATAAAATCTATCTATATGCTCACTAGTTGCATTAATTTCCTTAAAAAACATGAGACTCTCATCAATTGTAGGTATAAAATTAATTAATGGCCTTCTTTGTACATTTATCCAACTATTGTAAATATACTTACCCCCTTTTGATTCCAAGTTCCTTTGATTAGTTTAAGTAACTTCTCCATATTGGCCCTTTCTTTTTCAACAAAATGGATCTTAGTGCATTATCACTAGAAAGTTTAAAACCAGGAATTATATTATTGGCAACATATTGAAATGCACTAATAAAATATGGATTACGTGCTAAATTAAAAGATAAGGCTGGTTGAATAGAACATTCTAGCAATTTTAGTTGTTAAATTCTCTCTAGCTCCTTGATGGAAAGATCTTTCTATAGTGTTTTGGAAAGATCTTCCTTGATACAGGCTCTCAACTGAAGTTGGTAATCGAACTTATTTTGGTTTTGTTCTATTCTCAGCTACCTTTTAAGCTTTTCGCATTTCAATTAAACAACTATCATCAACTTTCAAACATATAACAACACCCTTTGTAGATATAGAGATCCTCAACAAATAAAATTTAACCCTAAAATAAGAGTTGTTGTATTGCTTATTATAATAGTTACACTTTTAAGTTCTATTTCCATCTTTCTCTTCATTTTTTTGAGATACCAAAGTCACATAAACCTACAAAGTAGTACCATGTTTCTATCTTTTATTACTAGATTGATACCAAGAATTCAAACTCCTTGAGCTACTACTTTGTCTAGAATTAGAAACAATTGCAAATTTAATTTATATTAAAAAATTGTACAATTTTTTGAAATTTTAACATGAAAAAAGTTAATAAAAATTTAAAATAAACTAATGTTTAACTCAATAAATAATCCATCGAAATGAAAAAAATTAAATTAGTAACATCATCACATTAACAATAAGTCAATAACATTTAAAAAAATTATTAAATCACTAAGAAGTGGTCAAATTTAGAGTCAGAGTTTTTCCTACCACCGTCTAGTTGATTCTTTGGTGTTTTTGTTTAGTTTGAATTAATACCAAATACTGTTCATTTTAAGGAGGCCAATTTGAATATTCAAAACCATATGAATAGGGCCCTAGAGAAGCATACAATTTGATAAGACTGAGGGCCTTTTGCCTAGATTTAGCAAAATCTCTTCTTTGCCATAAATAGTGCTCTGCACAGAATGGAAGAACGAAGAAGTGACTAGAGATTAGAGAAGAAGATGAAGAACTGACCTTGGACTCCGAGAGACAAAGCGACGGAATCACGGATAGTGGGACAGATGATGCTTGGAGTGACTGAAGAGACATAGCGTTGTGAGCCCGTGACTGAAGGCGGACGATGCTTGGAGAGACAAAGCGAACCTCACACGCGAGACGCGATGGATTTTGGGAGTAAAAGGGGAAAGGATAGGCTAGACGAAATAAGGCAACTGATTTCTAGAAAAGGGCAAAAAAAAAGGCCAAAACACAATTCTAGGTCCAACCTGTGTCCACCCGTGTTCGACTAAAAATGAAAAGCTGACACGCCCCTTTTGCGTCCTGAACGACATGGCGCAATTTGCACATATCCGTGCTTCTCATAACATTTTAGGTGTTGGAAAATCTGAAATCACATATGTACTTGCCTCTTGTTTTCCTATTAGGTGTAGAATTTTAGGTAAGAAATAGTGGGTAATAATGTCTTTCGCAGGGATTGATTGGTTGGAAAAGAGGGGAGGGATTTTGCCCCCTCTTTTTGGCTTGCAAAATTCAAAACAAAAAAAAAATTCCTTCCCTCCTCACCAAATTAAGGGGATTGGGAGGGGAGGGATAAAGTTTGTCACGCCTTTATTACTCTGCCTTTTGTGATAAATTTAAAAAATATAAATATATTTTTTCAGGATTTCAACACTAATAAAATGATGGTGAAATTGTTTATATAATTATTTTTTTCTCCTCTTCTCCTAAACCAAATAAAATAACATAAAACTCATCTCCTTTCCTTAAATCAAACACACCCTTATGATAGAAAGGAAAAGCGGAAAGGGAATTTAAACTTGGTTAGCTTGTGTTCTTAGAAAGGTTTTCTTCTTCAACCAAAAGATATTTATTTTTATGCCATATAAAAAGTATTACATGTGTCTGTGTATCTGAGAAGTATAGAATCTTTCATTAAAATTTGAAAGAAATTATACGCATGATTTAAAAAAAATGATATGGAAACAAATGATTTAAAGACAATTTTTAATAAGTTAAATAGATCATAATCATCGAGGTTATTGTATGTTTTGTTTCAAAACAATTTATAGTTTGGAGTTTCGGTTTTGGTTTAAAATTGTTATCACTTTAGAATTTCAATAAATTATTAATTATTTTTATACCATTTTACTATTTTACGTGAATTCTAACTATTTATTTAGAAATAACTCTTCAATGTAAGAATATTTTAGTCCAATATTGTTAACCTAGCTACTTACTGTTATAATATGTAACATATCGGTGGCAGATAGGATAAGGTGCTCGAGCTTGTCTCGGGCATTTTGAAATTAGATAGGAGAGATTCATGAATGTAGCACAAGCAAACGTTTTGTTGCCAGTTTTATGAGGCATGGTTCGTTTGAAATTCCTGCACCTTCCGATCCGATGAATGCCAATGACTCAGGATTGATGTTGGGACCTGGTCAGGAAACTTGCATCAAAATTGATCTAAACAAACAGAAAATTAATGCCTCGACAACACCCAAAAATCCAAAATTAAGGAGGCATTATTGACGCCATTGTGAAACAGCTAAAACAAAGCTCATCAATCGAAAATGGATGGAAGGAAAGGGTGTCTCAATAACACTGCCAACCCTTGAGATTTAGAGGATCTAAGGAAAACTTGAATCATGGTTAATATCACTAAAATTTAGAAGCAGGGATGTGATAAAAATCGCATGTAATCAATATAGAAGAGAAACGTTTATCGATTCCACAATCAATCACATCCTAAATCAACACGTACAAACATAATGCTTACCATAGTATAATGAACATGCATCACACAAGATGAAGGAAACAACAGGGTGAAGGAGGCATGACAAGCATAATTTCTGTAATCAAAAGTCGATACAGTTATCTAGAAAGTGCCTTTTATGACATCAATAATCTTCTCCCTCCTCTTCATCATCTGCTGCCTCAGCACCAACTTCTTCATAATCTTTCTCAAGAGCAGCGAGATCTTCACGGGCTTCTGAGAATTCCCCTTCTTCCATTCCTTCACCAACATACCAGTGTACGAAGGCCCTTTTGGCATACATGAGGTCAAATTTGTGGTCGATTCGAGAAAATACCTCCGCAACTGCAGTGTTGTTACTGATCATACAGACAGCCCGCTGCACCCTAGCAAGGTCACCACCTGGTACCACTGAAGGAGGCTGATAGTTGATACCGCACTTGAAGCCAGTTGGACACCTATAGGGAAAATGACAACATCATTGAGATTATATTCTTGCATGTGACGAATGAAAATTAAGCAAAGAAAAAAAAAATCACATGGTACAGAGTGGATCATCCAAAAGAATCAAATTTCAGGAGATTCACTTCACGCATCTGCTCACTGGGCGTAAAATTATACAAGTGAATGCCATTAACTTCTGTATTCCCCAAACCCCCCCCCCCCAAAAAAAAAAAAGTCACCAACTTGCATTTGTTTCAACCTGTTTCAATGAGCAAAGCCCTAAGAACACGTGCTACTTTCAACAATGTACATGCAAAATTTCTTACCAGTCAACAAACTGAACAGTCCTTTTTGTTTTTATGGTGGCAACTGCAGCATTTACATCCTTAGGAACAACATCCCCACGGTACATCAAGCAACAAGCCATGTATTTCCCATGCCTAGGATCACACTTAGCCATCATGCTTGATGGCTCAAATACTGCATTTGTGATCTCAGGTACCGATAACTGCTCATGATATGCTTTTGCAGCTGAGATAACAGGAGCATATGAGGAAAGCATGAAATGAATGCGGGGATATGGCACAAGGTTAGTCTGGAACTCTGTAATATCCACATTTATTGCTCCATCAAACCTCAATGATGTTGTTAAGGATGATATGATTTGAGATATCAATCTATTCAAATTGGTATAAGTTGGCCTCTCAATATCTAGGGATCTTCGGCAGATGTCATAGATTGCTTCATTGTCCAAGAGCACAGCCACATCAGTGTGTTCAAGGAGGGAATGAGTAGAAAGAACACTATTGTATGGCTCCACAACTGCAGTTGAGACCTGAAATTGAAAGAGAAATTAGCTGCAAGGTATAAATAAGAGATAAACATTTTGATATACCCATATAAGAGGCAACTTCCGGGAGGTGAATTACTCAGAGAAGTACCTGGGGAGATGGATAGATGGTGAAACCCAGCTTTGACTTCTTTCCATAATCTACAGACAAGCGTTCCAATAGCAAGGACCCCAAACCAGACCCAGTGCCACCACCGACAGCATTAAACACTAAAAATCCTTGCAGCCCAGTGCAATTGTCTGCTAATTTTCTTATGCGATCAAGGCAGAGATCCACAATTTCTTTTCCAACTGCAGTGCCAATCAACAACTTAATTGAAGTATAAACCAGATCAATTACTTTGCGCATATTTATTTTATCATTCTAGAAACAAGCTCCCTTACCAGTATAGTGTCCTCTAGCAAAATTATTTGCTGCATCTTCCTTTCCAGAGATGAGCTGCTCAGGATGGAAAAGTTGCCGGTAAGACCCAGTCCTTACCTCATCAATAACAGTTGGTTCAAGATCAACAAATACAGCTCTAGGAACATGCTTCCCTGAACCAGTCTCGCTAAAGAAGGTGTTAAAAGCATCGTGTGCAACACCAACTGAAGTGTCACTGCATATGGAGAATTTTCAGCATGGCAGAGAGTAAGGATTAACTTAAGGAAACGTGACAATTTGACCTGAAGTAGCTCCACTAGAAATTTGTGAGGTAATGCTTTATGCAATGTAACAGTCATATATTGAAACGATACATGGCATGAAAAGCATAATATGTAATTTCTTGAGATCTAAACCAGGACGAGGTAAGTTTCATTGACAACTCTTATCATACACACAAATAGACTGTTAATTTGTTGAATTGATGGGGTGTCCTGTCAAACGGCAGGCTATAGGCATTTACAGTTTAACCCGGTTGCAGTGATTGCTTTTTCTTCAAGTTTCTAGTCAGTTAATTAACATATTTAAAAACCCATTAGTCACTTGTCATAAACCCATTTAAAAGCATATACTTCTACTCGGGATACATCAGATTTGACATGAAAAAGGTAAACAAGAAATATCCATAGATCCCGCGTGTCCTCTTAATAAGCTACCTCTCCTCTGTTTTTGCCAATTGATTACTTTCGTACCCTCTATCTTATCATCCTTTGTCAAATTCAGTCTTTCCCGCTTCATTTCCGGTCGTCTGGTCTGGCTAAAATCTCATGAACATGGATACCTAATTTTTTTGGTCATCTTAGCAGTTGAGTGAAGACTGATGAAGGACATCCGACAGTATTCATTTAACTGGCTTCACCAAAAAATTGTGAGGGGCAAGAAAAATCTTGGCACGCTATTTGCTGTGATCTAAACCAAAAGCATAAAAAGTTAACAAGGACAGGCCTTATTAAACACAGACGCGGCGTCAATTGGTTGCACGGATGGGGTGTAAACCATAGGATTATGCGCACTTACAGTTCAGCCGGTGGGATTAATAACCTTCCGCCTCCAATTGCAATAGTAAATTAACATATTCATAGTGAACTCATCTGCTATTTGACATAAATACGTTAAAGTCATTTCGTTAAATATCAGAATGGACCCAAAAGATGTCGAAAGCACGAAATCCATAGATCTGGTCCTCAGAATACACTCCCTTTCTCCTCCTTTCGTCAATTAATTACTGCTCTCTAAATTGTCCTTGTCAGTTAAGTCTCGGTCATCTAGGGAAATTCTCACGAACACGGATGCATAAAATTCAGCGATTCGTGAAAAAAACATAAATCAAGATCATCCTCTCTCACAGATGCAGGGGGGAAACACACATACACACACAGAGTGTGAAAAGAAAAAATGAACATGGAGGGACACCAGTTACCTGGGCATCATGCCGTCAGGTTGAATGCCATGCTCGAGGCAGTAAAGCTCCCAGCAGGAATTCCCAACCTGAATACCCGCCTGACCTATGTGTATGCTTATGATCTCCCTCATCTCGCTCTCCCTGCGATCCTCTCCTGCGGTTCAAAATCGAGATTAGAATCTCTTCCTCCTCTAACCAGGTCTGTGCGGAGAGGGCGTAACTGTTGGTGCAGATCGAGAATCGTCCCGTACGTCTCTATCTGTCCTCGTCCACACAGCACTAAGCTTTACATTGATTGGATATATTTCCGAAACGGAACCGTCTTAATTTATGATCCGTTTCTTTTAAAAATACATATATATTCGAAAAATGTAATGAGGGATTAATAATAAATACATGATTCTTCGGTCTTAAATAAAATGCTTTTAAAAGAGTTTTTTATTTTAAAATATAACATATTTTAAATATATTAATATCTTATTAAATATGTGAATAAATTTTATTCTTTTCCCTTTTTATAATTAATTTATATTTTTTTAATATATTAAATAATAAATTTTATTAAATACATTTAATAAAAATTTATTATTTAATATATTAAAAAAATAAAATTATTAAATGTATTTAATAAAATTTATTAATATATAAAATTTTATTTAAAAATATTTTATAACTTTAAAATGGAGGGAGTAGTAACAGGAAAACATATCTGTCACTCAGGGAAGAAGAGGAAAATAATGAAATCCTGCGATAAAAATACAAGGAAGGCGCCAAAGAGAAGACCCCGTCCCACAAGGCCAGCCTATCATGCGGCCCACAGGAACTGAATGACACGAATACCCCCACACGAGGAGGGGGAATTGGGGGAATGTAGATGGGCAGCGCCGGGAAAACAGAAAATGATGATGACGGACCAGGGTGGCCATGTGCGGCTGGTGCTGTCACAGTGCATGCAGGGGCACACCATTGCGATTTGCGAGTGCAACTTTTGGACATTGCCACTTAAGGAGGCTTTTTTTTTAAAAAAAAAAAGGTAATTTCAGTCAAAGGTACTTCCAAAAAAAATTTAAAATTTTAGTTTAATTTAAAAAAGTTAAAAAAATTTCAACTGTAAAAAAATTAAAATATCATTCACTTGTTAATGTATAATTATTAATATATATTAATTTTTTATTTCATTTATTAATTTTTTAATATGAGTTGATATATTAATAATTATATAAAATTTGACATCAGTTGTTTAATAATAAATAACAATATCATTTGTTAAATTGCTAACAAATTAACAAGCAAAGTTATTAAATTAATAATTAATGTTATTAATTGTCTGACAAACAGATATAATTTATAAAATATTAATAAATTAACAAGTGAAGTAAGAATATTAACAACAAATAATTTTGCATAATAAGTGAAAGATATTTTAATTTTTTTATTATTAAAATTTTTTTGACTTTTTTTTACTAGACTAAACTAAAATTAAAAAAAAATTGAACCCACCTTTTTTTTCAAGATCCTTAATTAAAATTCTTCTTTTTTTTTTTTCAGGAGGATTATCATCATAGTAATAAAATAATATTACCTCATCCTTTCTGGCCCCAATTATTGAGTCAATGAGCTGGATATTTTTAAAATATAAAATTATTGATGATGAGAGATGGGTGACAGCATTCATTATAATGACAAAAAATTTGAATATTTCACGAACTATAAATGAGAAACATAGATAGATCAAGTGTAATTTGATGGCATGTAGAAGAGCGGATGCATGCGTGCGATGTGATATGAGGAGGGAGAGGTGAACGATGGTGGAGGTGCCGGCCTTTGCACCAGCGCACCAGCACACATCACATCCACAAGAGTTGGCATTCCCCACACATGAAAGCCACATCATTATCATGATCATCATTATTATTTATGATGATGTGGGGGTGTTGCTATCCTATCTTGTGATAAAGGCCTTCAATATTGCAATGTGTGTCTTATCCACGGCTTTCACATCACTCATCGTATTATACGTATCTCCACCCCAGTGCCGGTTCACCTTCAATATTTCTACCAAACATCCTTCCTGCCATTTTCTAAATTACCCAACACTGAATACATCAAAATTATGTCAGATTAGTATCAACTAATCGGGTCCGAATCCACTGCTGCACGATTGCATGCAGGGTAATGGGCGCGTTTATTTCTCTTTCTGTGACCACTGGCATGCTACGGCAAACCAGAAAGCCTTCATGATTGGTGGTAATTCATGCACCTTCTTCACCTTATTGAGTTCTCGTGCATTTCGCCTATATATTTATGTTCATGATAGTTTTATCCAAGTCATTTGCATTGTATCAATTATAAGAAGTAAACTAATTGACATGTCCTTTCATATATAGCTTCTCAACACGTATAACTAGTTTGTGTGTGTGTGTGTATTACATCTTCCCTTTCCACATAGGAGTCGCTTTTAAACATTTTACCAGAATCAACTAAATCCAATTAAATTATTGGTATTGTCTAACAATAAATAATTTTTTAATCTACCCTTATTAAATATATTAGCTCTAAAACACTTTGCGAATTTTTACATATCCTACTCATAGACGATCATAAAAAATAAAATAAAATTAAAGGAAAGTAATTCATTGATTTATATTTCTTATGCATTAATTTCCCTTGAAAGATAGCACAAATATGTACAGGACCGAGGGTGCTATAAAAGTATAAGAGACTATGTTTAAGCAACCCTCAAAAGTACATCCAAATATATACTTTTGCCAAATCCAACAAATAGTTGGATCCCTCAAGTGTATTTTTGACAAATATAAACTGAAATTTAAATAAGCATTACATCATTCAAAAGTGATGAGGAATGATCATTTCTCGTGAATTTAATTCAAATGCACAAGCCATCTCTTTGATTCATACTATATTTAAGCAATGGGTTAATTATTTTTATTAATTGTAATTAATAATTAGAAGAACATACTTTGCTGGTTACCTCCTCATGTGAAAAATTCTAGGGTTAAGGGTCGTTGTCCATTACGTTTACTCAAAAGATCACTAGAAACCCTAAATTCAACTATATATATGTCAAATATGTCCTTCAACGTTAAAAATTTTATTTTTCATCACCCTATTGCCTTCTTCTCATTTGTTTGTGCCAATAAGTCCCACAATTTTTTAATATTGTTTTATTATACAATATTCACTCTCTCTCCTCCCTTAATATTTTTTATTATAAAATATTCACATTCTCTCCCCCTTCTCTCCTTTTATCATAACTCTCTCTCTCTCTTTCCTTCCCACTTTCTCTCCCCATCTCTTGTCTCCCTTCTCCCTCTCCCCTCACATGCTCATTATCTTCTACAATGCGTGATGGCAGAGTAGTCCCTAGAGTAAGGATGACTTGGGCCTCTTACTCATAGAATCTTCTCCAGTATCCTCCAGCTCTTTGTGGATCAGCTTTATGGAGGATGACAGTGGTGTTGTCTTTCGCCAACAGCATGTTGTGGCAGCCATGGTGGTTTCTCTCCCACTCCTCACCAAGCCAATTATTGCTCCTCAACTCATGTATGCCCATAAACTTGAGTTGATGAGGGTTGGTAGGGTAAGGGAGAGCAACGTTGTCAAGAAAGTTGAGTTGGTGAATGATGAGGGCATCGTCGGGGAGGAGCGGAGGAGGGAAGAACATGCACCAATTGAGATGAGAGATTCTTAAGCATCACTTTTGTGCATCAAGTCGAGCTAGGGCTTCCACCAACTCATCCAACTCTTTCCAAGACTTTCCTAGCCAACTTGCTTGAAACCCCACATCAAAACCTCTTAACAGTCTTCTCTTATAGTTTTCAATACTCTACCACTACCACCATATATGTAACATCCTCAATTTTTATTTAAGGGTTAATTAACATTAAGATGAGGTATCATGATATAGTTAGAATTTATTAAGTAATTAGTTGAGTAAAGAAAATTTACTCAAAAGAGAGTTAAAGATGTAATTTTTTAGGGAAAAAAAGAAGAAAATTTATAAGATTAGATAGGATTAAATAAGCATTTAAAATAGAGTTTCAATTTAACTTATTATTTAAATATTAAAAAATTATTATAAAATATATAAGATAAGAAATTTTTTAGATTTCTTTCTAGAGTTAAAAGAAAAAGAAATAAATTAGAATATAAATAATATATGAATATATATATATATATAAAATAAATAAGGTTAAAAAAAGAAGTAAAAGTAGTAATACTCAAAATAAATAAAATGGACGTGGCCTCCAGCCTACTAATAGTTACGTTATTTCGAATTTATACCCTACACGCGCGCTCGTTGTGAGCTATCCTTGATGGTTCTTCGTCGTGCGACTTCCAACGGCGCTAATACACTACAGCCAAAGAGATATCTCCATTATGAGAGAATGAGATGGCTTGGGAGCTTTGTTTGAGCACCAATTCATTTATTTAGAGACTTCTAAAAATTAGGATTTGTATTGGTGGTTTTGAGAACATTTCAAGATGCATAATTTATAATAATGGTTTATCCTTTCCTATATATGTTAGGAAGCTATTAATTTTTATTATTATACATCTATGTATGAATTGTATTGGGAATGACTGTGCTCACTAGGGCTTGTTTGATTGCTTGGATCTAAACTGGAATATATGTTTAAACCTTTTTAGTATGCTTATACATTTTCTTGAAATGTATGTATATTATTTTGATTCTTTCCAAGCATGCTAGTCTCTTTGATTGGTATTTGATGACAAATGGTTATACATGATTACTTGAGTCCTTTCAAGCATGCTTGTAAATATTTGAAATTTCATAAGAAATATGTGTTGCTCTTATCAAGCATGCTTATGCATTTTAAAATCTTATGGATATGATGCCCTTATAGGGAGTATATACGGTAGAAGTGATGGGAGATTATGAATTGATTAAATGCCACATGCTACATCTCCACTCAATGCACAATGGATGATTCTTTATTGTGACTCCTTTCCTTTGTTTTAGGATTATGAGATATAAGGCGCCTCATTTTAAAGAGGGGAATCTAATTCTAAAGGCAATACACTTTTGACTGATTATATCCTCAGTCTAAGCTCTAGCCAACGATATAAGATGGATAAGGCAAGTTATAAGGATGGGTCAAGGTTTGTATCACTTGTTTGATTGTTTTAAATGACTAAACTTTTTTATTTATTATGAAAACTACATTCCTATAGTTTTGAAATTAGTTTGCAAAATGAAATTGTGAAAGAGTGTGTATGTGTGGACTATGAAATGAATTTGTATTGG